TCTGGCTCTTTGAGTATGTAGAGCCTTCTATTCTCTATTCATAGAGCGCTTGTTGAGCCAAATCAGATATCAAATATTTACCAAAAACCATGTTGTATACGGCTTTCGGTGCTGCGGCTCATGCGCAATTGCATCGTTACCGAAAGAACACCAACTTCGGGAGGAAGTGATGATTTCTCAATAATCATTAAAAACAATTGTCAGCGCAATATCTACCTATATATTAATTAACCCGCTATTTCGCGTCGTGTTAATGCACCTTTTCTGCAACCACTTCGCCGCCTAAATCCGAAAGCGTGGAAGAGGGACGGCGAATCTTCTTCGCTCGGTTTTTTCTTGAGCCAGTCGACGCTTCTGTTTAAGATTCAAACCAAGTTCGATCAACTTATTTTGAGATTGCCTGTACCAATCCCCGTTTTGTTGTTGCAATGGGCAATGCGATATGTGAGCAATCGTAAGGCAGAAGCATAGGCGAAGTACATCGTCTTATAGCTCACGAGCCAAGCCAATTTTGTCAGAAGTAATGCGCAAAAGCTCATTAAGAGCATCTCCACCGGTGTGTCGCTATATCTATAAACTCGTTGCCTTCCGATTGGCCGGAATGTTTTAGCGATATCACCAATCTGTCGCTATGTGGAGAAATCGTCTTCTGCGAGAAGCTCTTGACGACGAGGAAGAGGCGTACGTCTGCTCGCTACTTTTGACCCCTCGCGCACCGAAAAAGAGAAAACACGGCGGTTCACAGCCCGGCAAGGCTGCAAATGTCGACAGAGACTTCACTGCGGCTAATGAGATGCTTGTGCGGCGAAGTATCGCCGCACAAGCATCCTGGTACTATCGTACGGTATGACTGCAAGATTAGCGTCCAAAGGTTGTCCGCCCTCTGATCGGCCCCTGCGATTGGGTAGCGCACCACGCCGTGCACAGGGCGGCGTCTTCCTTGTCCGACCAAGCTTTTCTCGAGGCATTGTTCGTTTGCAAGTGATCCAACCTCCTATAGATTTCAGTCGCGATGGCGTCCGAAATAGCGACCGAAACCCCCCGGTAGCTAAAAAATTAACGATAGAGACGCCTGGTGAAACCCCAGTAGTTATCAATTTGAGCTCTTCAGTCGCTATATAGATATAGAGCCCCACTGGTGGAGATGCTCTAAGTCGCCCGAAGAAGTTCTTGACAATCACACGATCGTGTGCAATTCGGTCGTTTGTTTGGTCCGCACGACTTAGATTTTTGCCTCGTTTTTGGAATTACACCACGCCGAAAGTCGGCTACACCTTGGTACCCTTTATCTGCTAGCAGAGCCCATTCATCGGGAAACGCATCTTATAGAGGGCCGTCGTCTGGCAAACTATCATCGCCTGTAATCTTTCTCATTTTTCCATGATGAAATGGCTTGTCACGCTTGTAGATCGTGATAGCATGCGTTCCTCCGGGTACATGCTCTGAGCAATTAACTGCGAAACCACGCGAATCTACCGACACCTCCGCCTTCAGTCCGTACAGGTAATGTTTCCCGCTATAAAAGGATCTGCTTTCGGCGATACTACCGCCAGGGCGCCAGCTCTGTTGAAACGTGATATCTACCACAAACGAAGCACTTGGGAAATACTTAAACACGTTGTCGCGTGTTCGCACATTGCGCATTGTTGCCTCATCACAACGACCCTCCACTTGGTCGACTTAGATCTTTGGAGATAGAATTCTGATGAACTTGGTAACAACGTCCGTAGAAGTAGACGTGGTCAATCGAAAACGCTTAGCTTTGGCATCCCACGTTCCTCCCTCTTTTAAGCATCATGAGTGTCATGAAAAAGGCGTCCTTCGGTGTGATCTCGGAGCGCTAACCTCGAACAACATTGTAACTTATGGCGCATGTTCACGGCCACAGTGTGTTGAACTCTGGTAGGAAAAGAAATGACATGGCCTTGATTGCGGCGGACCCACCAATCTCCCGAGAATAGTCAATGTGGGGTGTGTCTGTTTCTTCGCTGTCAATTTCGTGCGGTGGCGCGTTGGAGGGCTGTCTGAGGTCTTGAACTTGGTCAAAAGGACGTGTTTCCAGCTCTAAAAGTATGCTTCAACACGATCCCGTGTAGAATGGCGCGATCCGCGTAATTGTGCTGTCATCGCTTCCGTTTTTGACCTGGTCTTAGATGTGTAGATGGGAGAGATCAAGAAACTTGTAAAATTAGCTGCCTTCTCGCCAGGAAGCTTATATGCCAAAATTTTTAGTCAACTCACAAAGCGGACTCGGCTCCTTACTGACTATCATTACTGTAAAACCAATGGTGAGGCACACGCTCTGCACACAGTTGTAAATTCATACATTCCATATGAAACACTTTGTCTACGTCGTGACCTACCACTGAATATCATCTTGTACAGGATACTCGCGAGAACTAAGTTTATTCTGACCTAGCATCAGCCCCCCCCCCCCCCCAAACACGTTGATGGTGCCTTACCAAAAGTCGTGAAAGCCGTCCTCGATGTTCTGGACGCCAATAATTAATCGGCTGCTTAGTCTTGATGGACCTTCTCACTCCAAAACTACTTCCAAGTAAGACTCTTAAAAAAAGTAGACGCATAAAAACCTGGAATTCGTTCCTGAACGAAAGTGTACGAGTAGGAATGAACAAAGTCTCCGGCATGCCGTTCCCCATAAGGGAGCAGCTCACTGGCTGAAAGTCCGACCATCCTGATTCAAATTTGATAAGGGATGAAACTGAAGTGATTAGCTGCCAAGGAAGTAAATTGTGTAGTGAAAGCGGGGAGGGGTGGGGTCTCGCACACGGTCTGATGAATTTAAGGTGATAAGATTGACGATACGAAGAGGCTCCCGCAATAAATGAGAGGCAGCTCTGCCTCGTCGCCGATACACACTTCCAGTCGTTGTCTAAAATAATTCCATACCTTACCTCTGGGGACATAAAACATATCCAATGGATACCGCACACACTTGCGGACACGAGTTCCACCTCCAGTATGTACCGCCCGAATTCATACATTTTTGGACACTTTCCTGATGATTTCGGGTGATTCTATCACTTACCAGTTTTCACGGACTTTCGTGCCGAGCACGTATAAGCAGGGATTGACAGTAACGCCATTTTTCACACAAAAAATAGAGATCCGACTTGCCTTTTGCTGTAGTAACAGTAGATCTTGTCGAGCAAATTAGTATTGCAGTGCCTCTACAGCCGTTTGCAATGGTTTCTACGGTCGACACCTTAGCTGCCGACGTCATTGATTTCATCTCGCATGCGCTGAATCTCCTTGCGGTTGTGCTTCAAAAGAAGCTGCATTTCAGCACGCTAGTTGTCCGTAGGATTTCGTAGATTGCTCATTACAAACCCGGCAGTCAAGAAAAGTGTTCTTGCGGAGCGTTGGACGAACTCCTTCCGATCCAGATACGCACAAATTCTGCGATGGACGGGAATAACACTGGCCGGGCTCGTGGAACGAGCGAAGAATATCGATGTGTTCACACACCGCTTCAACTCTCCAACGAACGATAGCATTCTCATTCTGACGAACCAGGGGCAGTGGTGTAAAGTCGTCCTTGGTATGCATCTCCTCCGCCAACTGATGCACGGTAACAGATATCCAATCGACTGTAAAATCAAGCCAGCCACGAAGGGCTTGGTCAACTTGATCGCAGAGACTTAGTAGTGTAGCAACTTGAGCTAACGGTGTAACGGCGGCACCACAAATCCCTGGAGTGCCCTCGATGGACGGGATCAAGTCGAAGTTTGGCGACAATCCTTGCGGTGCGTTCTGTGTTACACCTTCGAAACGCGCGTTAAGTGCAGCAACAACTTCGCGATGAGCATTCCGCGGTAACCCGTTTCCTGCTGGATGGTCATGTGAACCCACTCCGCTTCCTTGGCCGCTTCTACCTTATTGTCCACAAACTTGATGAAAGTAATCAGTGACTCGATTGAGAGCTTCGTTCGTGGGTCCAGAAGCAGGACCAATACCATCTCAGTAGTAGATGTAGCAGCTTCACCTACCCTATCATCCTCGCAGCGTAAGTGCGAGCCAAATCTTTCAGACATCTGTGTGAACATCATAGCGAGGAAACCATGCTACGGTGGCTGACACTGGTCGTAAAGCGTCGATATTGTAAACAAAGAACTTGCTGTTGTGCAAGCGATCGTTTGTAAACTTGAGCATCACAATAATCTCCACGCGACGAGCTCGCTACGCTGGCCTTCAAATCTTGCAAGGTCCGCGATGGATCCTACGATGGCCTCATCTCTACCATCAGCGGCCAGTCTCTGTGTGTCAGACACCCAAAGACGGAGGCGTCGTCAGCTTCTCACAGTTCTGGAAGAAGCAGCAAAAGGTAGTGTAGTTTACGATTGAACGCTGGACGTCTTGACTGTGTAAGCTACACGTGTATCGAAGTCCAACGTCGCTGCCAGTCTTGAAAGGCTGTAAATAATGTTTGCACGATTTCCAGACGCTGGCAACGCTGTTCAGACCAGAAGTAGTTGTTCAAGTTGCAAACACGCATAACCAAGTCCCGCCCTTCCTCGAACAATTCAAAAGTGATGCTCGCGCTTGTAGGTCTTTGTGGATCGATCGTACACCTTCACAGTCTCTTATTCTCGCGCACTCCCAGTGCGTACTGCAGGCATTGGTTAAGGACATGCATTGTGCAGTCGTTATTAATAGGCACGAAATCCTCGAACAGCCTTGAAACCTTGCAATCACTGGCGACTGTATCGGACACAGCAAACTGCGACATAGCGTAGATATCAATGCCTAACATCTCTGTTATTCGGGCGCGAGGTCTTCTCCCTTTCCGCGGACGCGTGTGGCCCATTGCAACCGTGATAAGTGAAGCGATTTCTCAAGGAATCCACGCCTCTTCAGTCCTGCTCACAGATATTCCAAACACTCACATTTTTTATTAGACAAGCTCCACGCGTCGCGGCGAAGATTAAGATATGGAGAGTGATGGGCACCAGCAACTTCTCGCAACAGCAAACCGGCCATCATTGGCAGAATTCGTCAAATATATTATCCAACAAATCCCGAAATGTCGGAACAGACAGGGCATGAGCCGCTGAATGAGCAGGGCTAAGTCTTCTGTCGCTATCTTGTTGAGCGGTAGTCCAGCTGAGACTAGCCAGTGGGCATATACTCGTCGATCCCCTGCTGCGTCGGCTCCCACATCTTCTGGAGGGTACCGCGGTGCTCTTTGGCCGACCTTCGCTCACTTTGGGAGCGGACTTTCTCGCATCCTCGCCTCGATAGTGACATCGTTAAGGCTGGTGGCTGTCTTCTTTAATCGCTTCGATGCATCTGCTTGGCCGAACGGGATATTAGGGTGGAGTGTGTACATGAGATCCTAGGCGTTTGGGCTGTGACGGAAGCGATGACGCGCGCTCCCGCGCCATGGGCGCAGCGCAGGGATTACAGGCTAGTTTTTGAGCCCACCAAATACACACGAGTGTAGCGTCGCTGTCCTTGGTCTCAAGCGGAGTGGCCAAGGCGTGCAGAGCACCCCATACGTTTGAACTGCTTTTCCTGTCGATAGTGACGAACGGATAGTGGAATGCCGAACACATCGACGCCTGACAAATCATTTGTCATAGCAAATTCGGCAACCGAGAACATGGAATTCACCCCCCCCCCCGGTTATGCTGACTGGGTCAACGAAAAGATCGCCTGAGCCCCCCCCCCCGCCGCCGCCACGTCATTGGTGCCGATGAGTGGCTTAGTACCAAGGATGACCTTCATCCGAGGGCTGGACCGTATTTGATGGATGCTTTCGATCCAATAATTGGCTTGGATACGAGGGTTGACTTGGATTCGAGAGCTGACTTGACAGGTCATACAAACCTTGAGCGCCGAGTTCACTCTCAACTTGTGGCAATGCCATCTTTTTTTTTTCTTGTAGAGGCAGACGCCAGTACAGAATCACTCGGAGAGCTTGTCTGAGTCATATACGTCGTTGCTGCAGATGTGATGAGCCCACGCCCGCACACAGCGCAGGGGACCGTCTTCGGCAGCTCTGGACAGGCACAGTCAGAAATTGCGCACTTCATCGGCGTCTTTGAAGTTTAGTCCTTGATCTTTTGTGCTGCTTGTAATTTGCAGAATGAATTGACGCTCACCAAGGTCGAGATCACGAAGTACGATGTCGAAGCCGTGCTATGAATACTAATGCCCCACCGTGACCGTAGGACGATGGTCGCTTCCATGCTTAGGCCTTGGTTGCGGCTAGCGCCAGCTAGCCAAAACATATTCCGAAGCTTCGTACAGGTATGGCTGGGTTGTTTTTTTTAATTTAAAAAACCGGGTTTAAAAACCGGTTTTATTCTTTTGTTTTTAAGCCAATTGACATTTATATCACATGGAATTCAGTAGTACTTGCTATACTGCTGTTCATACTACTCCTACTAGTAAATGTACTGCTATCCAATGCTCCCGATTTGTCCGTGGCCTCCGTAAACAGAAGATCGTCGCGAATTTGGGATGGAGCTGCCACAGACACCAAGGCAGCCTTCAGGGTCCCCTGCTCCATCAGCTCAGCTTCCGTGAGGTTACTTAAATACTCGTCGGCAACGCTTGGAGTCCTCGTCTGTTGGTGCCTCATCTCAGATAACACCATCCAAATGATAACGGCGTTAGAGCACCCTAACGTTACGACAGTACGACAGCCATCAAGTACCATTATTGCAGTGAAGCACCATTAACATCGAACTACGCCCTTAATAATGATAATTAAATACCACCCAAAAATTTACTGATAGAGGCGAAGTAGTAAGAAAATAAAATGATGTAAAAAAATACAATAAAATCATCTGATCTCTCTCCAAAACAGCAAGCAAAGAAAAAGAGAATCACTATGGATCAACAAGTTTTGGCGCGTGAATTGCTGCGTTCGAGATCACAGGCTCTGCAAGAGATACAAGACAAGATGGAAAAGATGATGGAGGCGCTCAATGACGTGCTGTACGCTCGCGAGGAGCTCGAAGCAATGTTGCTTCACGAGGCAGAGATCACCAAAAAGCTGAGTACAAGCATCAGAGTGGTTCCAGCTCCAAGAGGTTTCCGTCGTCGTATGGGATGGTGCTGGGGCGTGTTGTTAGAGTTCTTATGAATTACCCTCCTGCTCAGTGAGCTGGATGCTGAATTCGATGTTAGCAAACTCTTCTCAACCAAAACGCTTAACGATGTATTTTTATTTATATTGTGATGAGCAATCTCTTTGCGTGAAGCAGTACCTCGAGCATTGGAATGCCTGGTCATTGTCGTATGAGCTTAGTAACTTCTTCATCCGTCTTCTGCATTTTTTTAAACTCCTCTTCATTCCGGAGGGCAGGTTTTGTTGTACACAGCAGCGGCTACGTCAATCTCAACCGTATCACTTATACGTAGGCCTCCGTGATACGATGCCGCTCAAACCTATGGGCGTTGCGCAAAAAAGCGTAAATTATTCCAACATCAGATGTTACAACCTGTGCCATCCGGCTGAGCAGGCTTTTCAATTCACTTTTTTAGAATCTCTTTGGAAAACCGCTCCTTGGCCCCACTTCCTGTGTGTAATTTTTCTAAATATGGTATCCATGTGTTTTTCCAGGTATTTTTCATCTCTCTTCGATTTCATCGTTGGTGCAAAGGCTCGTAAATATTTACGCGTAATGTTGCTGAAAACGCCACTTCCATGATTATAACACCCCAGTGAATATTATCCAGATTCAACGGCAAATCACATATGGTATCTCCGATAGCCACTGTTTTGGATGGTTTGGTCATATCAGCAGCGAAGACAACGCAATAGCCTCTTTTACCGTGTCAGTGATCATCTGAATCCCCATGCAATTACCGCGTCGTTCAGCATTGCGTTGTGAGGAATTATGGCGGCTACATCAATAAAATTAACGAAAGCGGACCCGACTTGCTCTTCAAAATCGTCATCAGAGAACAGTATGAATCTTTCTGAAGCATGTCTTCAGCCAAAGCTTGGTGAACCTTTGCCGTTTCTGAATGGATCGTTCACTTGTTTTAACCTCCAAGGAAAAAGGTTCGACGGGATGGGCTTGAACAAGGCGCCAATCTTGGTTCAGCCACCTGACATCCTCGATGAATCCCCTGGCATTTGCCTCGAGTATGTAAAAATTCTCTATTCGGTTTAAGAAAGAGCTGTAAGTTCCATAAAAATGAGTAAGTAGTGTCTGTGTAAATTTGCGCAGCCTTATATCTCTAAAAGTGCCCTTAACGCGTAAAGGGCGCATTTAAGCCATCAATATATAAAATACCCACCTGTGTAGAACGAGATTTTCTGAGCCAAATGAGACCAGCATACCCCACTGACTTTCCTCATTCGCCGATTGCATTTCCTCGCGCTTTAAGATTATAGCAGCAGACGCTTTCATCAAGAGATACCCATGTATGACAAAGGCATGATCATTTGTGATGTCACCACTGGTTTCATCGGCAGCTTTGCACGTAACAGGACGATCTTGTAGAAACTTGGCATCCATGCGAGCAGGATACTGGTTGAGCACGTTGGACACCTTCTCCACATTCGCGTAATATTTAGCCCACTGGATGATCTGGGTCGGCGATAAAGTAACCTTCGATGAAAGCAGAACAACAGCCAATTTGGATTGCTTGGCAATCCACCCCTGTATTGGCTTCTTTCGGGTACGAGGCTTCGGATCTGAACGTTTCATCACTTCAACACGGCGGGATTTCGGTGGTTGGGTCGTATTACTTTGATTTTCGTTTAACAACCTTCGTTCTTCCTATTGAAAAACTAAACAATCATAGTAGATTATTTTTCATCAAGCGCAACAAAGTCCAAAACCGGCAGTTGCACTGGTAACAAAAAGACTCTCTGTGTGAAACTAAACACAAAGATAGTTAAAGGTGTTGCACCAGAGATAAGGGCGCTCAACTATAGAGATAAGGGCGCCTCAAAATAAATGAAAAAAAAACTTACTAAGATGAAATCCCAAGTTGTTTGTGCCATAAGGTCAATCCATTCAAAGAGTCTCTCCCCAGCGTTCAAAAGCTAACTGTTTTACGGCAGTCTGTATCACAGCGCCACTCGTCACGTCATTCTGGTCTTGAAGAACGAGAACTTCGTTGTCATCATACCATGCCAAGGTATTCAGCATATTCGATAGTTTTTTGTCAGCAGATGTACTTTGCAACACTTTTCTGACAATGTTGCGTGCTTGCTGGGATGTCACGTGGCGTTCCAAAGCACCGGAAAGAAACTTTTGAATGCGATGTGACCCCGTGTTGGCATCCGCAAGCAGTCCCCTACCATGCTATTTCTTGGTACCGATCCTGCGCCAGAATAGCTGAAGTAAATCGATGCATTTGTTCGATGATTGTGTGTCCAGGTCTATATATATACATTATAATACTGTTAGTATTTCGTACTCTCAGCGACTTTGTCAAATAATTACTTACCCGGTTGCGCAGGACGATTCGCCACTTTAGATCATGGTCTTCGTCTGCAGTATTTATCACAGTGGCCGTGACGCTAGCTCTACACCCAGTGTATCTAGATGGTGTACCTCGCTAACCTTTACCTCGAGACTTCTGAGGACAACCTTGGGTACAACGAAAGACCTTGTAGTGTGCTGCATCTTGTTTAGTATCTGCGGCTTGTCCAACCAATAATATACAACATAAAAATAAACGTTTTGTGAGTCAGTCTGATATAATTTAAAACTAATAAACTATAATATAAATTGTACAAATGTATTGTGGGTTTTCACCGTCTGTGAGCCTCGGGCCCTGAATAGTAGGAAATGTTCGCTGCAATATTTTCATAACATCACCGAGATCTTTCCATGTCGAAAACACGATCTGTCACATCGGCGGAATTTTGTTTATAAAGTTCACACGGGACGTTTCCATTGCCAAACGTTCAGGATACGACTTGGTACGTCTGACCCTTGCCGCTCTGTCGACATTAGGATCTTGGGCGGCTATGTTTGTGTCTTTGCCCTGTTCATCATCTGCTGCCGTCAAAGAAAAAGTCTCCGCGAAGCCGTCACTTTCAGCATGCCGTCGTCGTTTTGTAGGTGTTGCTAGTTGGTGCAGACGACTTTTCCTCTTGGAGGATCGGCTTGAATCTGACCGTAGTATCAAAAACCGTTTAGCTATGGTCATATAGGAACCTTTTTTGCAATACAGCACTAACCAATTTCATCAAGAAGTTCCTGCAACGTATTACTCGAATCGCTATCAAGTTTAAAAACCATCACGATTGTCATCTTCAGGTCCATAAGAATAGAGTGGTTCAGCAGCAGGAGCTTGTGCGAGTTATAGACTAGCGCCAATCACACAACCCTAATCACACTGCCGCACACGTTGGTTTGCCAGCGAAGCATTTTGCAGAGCGAACGCGAGCTCTTATCCGTCCTTGGTGTATACTACATTTGCAAAGCACACAAGCCAGTCAAGATGCTCGAGGAGAGCTTAGTCCTCGCAGCGACCGCTCTGAACCTCGTCCTCGTCGAGGACGCCGCTGTGCTCTTCGCCAGATCTCCTATTCCACGACCAGTCCTCACACTGAAGGGCAACTTCAATTTCAACGCATTAAGCGACGGAGACTGTCGTTTTAATTTCCGATTCTGGAAGCGTGACGTAATTCGGCTGCACAAGGCGCTGCGGCTTGAGGAAGACTACAAGCTACCGAGCCGCCTTCGCGTTGGTGAAGTCGAGGGGCTCTGTGTGTTGCTGCGCCGGCTCGCGTACCCTGGACGGTACGGGGATCTTGCTGTGATGTTCGGCAGGTCGCCCAGTGCGCTGTGCCTGATCTTTCGCTTCATGGTGGACCTAATCTACACTAAGTGCAGCAAGCTTCTTGCCCTTGAGTGCGGCATATTGAGCTTATCAAGGTGTGGTGCTTACGCTGCAGCGGTCGTTGCACGCGGCAGTCCTATCGACAGGTGTATCGGCTTCATTGATGGCACGGTGCGTGGCATCGCCCGACCAGTGCGCAACCAACGGCAGTGCTATAATGGGCACAAGCGCAAGCATGCACTCAAGTATCAAGGTGTCATGGCTCCCGACGGACTATTCATCGACTTCTACGGCCCCGTTCTCGGTCGTCGGCATGATGTCTACCTGCTACGAGTAAGTGAATTTTTGCAGCGTCTTGTTAGCGTGCATGGCGAGTCGTACTGCTTGTACGGGGATCCTGCTTACCCAAATCGGCCTACACTGCAAGTCGGTTTCAAAGGCTCTCGCCTTTCGCGGGATCAAGAAGCCTTTAATGGTGCAATGAGTGCTGTGCGTGTATCTGTCGAGTGGGGGTTTGGTGGAATAACTCGGTTGTGGCCGTACATGGATGTGAAGGTTTCGTCCAAGCTCCTACTTTCTCCTGTCGGCAAGTACTACCTAGTTGCTGCTCTACTGACAAACTTTAGAAATTGTACTAGTCCCAACCAGATCAGTCGTTTCTTCGGAGTTAGTCCGCCATCACTCGAAACCTACGTAGCGCTCGCTTTTCCTACTGCGGAATTCGAGCTGCCATAGCTCGCATAACCTCAATAAATGCCATGCGCCCTTTTTTTTCTAACGCTAAACGCTCTCGTTCTAATGCTATGCGGTTTTCCTCGTTCGCTACCTTTTTGAGCTCCACAGTACGTGCAAAATCATCTCGTTCTTTGACGTGTGCCATCAACTCAGCGAACTTGTCATGCTTGCACGTTTTCCCCTTCATTCTGGTCATGGCCTCGTCCCGCATTGCATCTGCGCGCTCGTCGTCGCGCTGCTTGGCTTCCTTGGCCTGCTTCTTCTCCTCCTCCACCGTCTCAGCGTCCTCGAACAGCTCTAGCACGTCGGCGAGCAGGTCGTCCCTCTCGGTGTGCTCTTCATCGATACCACTGGCTGCTGCACTTCTAGCCATTTTGGCCTTGAAGTCGGTGAGCAGCAGAGAGCAGCGCTCTCGGCATCGCCTTGCATCCACATCCAGCGCCAAAGCCGAGGCCACGGCTGCCCATGCAGCCGTCTTCCCGCCACGCTCCACCTCGAATGGATTCGCTGCGAGCACCTCCTTGAGCAGAGCATCGTCGTCGTCCTCATCGAAGCGGACTTGTGTCTTGCGCTTCTTGGTGGGGCAAGAAGACTCCATGGGCGGCGGCTGGTGACTGCTGGTGCAAGATGTAAACTGGAAGAGCACTGGAACCGTGTGCTCCACCAACTTGTGGTTTACAGTATTCGGATGTTAAAGTGCATATATATACATTTGTATACGACTTGTAGAAAGCTTATCAGTCGTAGCTACATCACTTGAACGAACGTGTGACGCTCGTCTCTGGCATTCCTCACAAAAAAAACTGGGCGTCACACGTTCGTAGCTTTCTGCTAAACCACTCTAATAAGCGCATAGCTCGAACAGGCCGTCTGTGTCATCTAGAAAACAGAAGCCTTAACGTTGGAGAGTTTGTTTTTAATGACCACAAATATAGCAGATAAGCTGTGATACGTACCTTCAGACATTTAAGTTTCGATCTGCAGTCAGCTGTCGAGTCAGTGAGTGATCGTCTAGCAGGTAGAAATCTTCCTGTGATTGACGGCTTTCAACACGTGGCACTGATTTTTCGAATGAGCCTAAAAATCAAACGGCCAGGATTCATCGCATTTAACAGAATTCTTCGAGCTTAGTTGAGATTGTAGTGTACACACTAGTTATTTTCCGGCGAATTTAAAATTTCACGTGTAAGTTTTACTTTTAGAGAAAGTATCATCATTAGTTTAAAGGGGCTCATATCCTGAAGCGTCTTTAGCGGTACTACTTATGCATAATCTTTATGGTGCTTTAACTACTTCGTCCAAATGATCTGCTTTCTTGAGTATTTTGGGAATGATTCGTTCCTCAAAAGACTGTCTTTTGGACGGTATCTTCATCTTTGCGACGACATCGTTATGTGCAACAGGCTGTTGAACAGCGACCTGTTCTTCTACCATCCCAGCGCTGAGACGGCTCCTCGAAGCACAGTGGACCCCTAGAAAACCTTGCCTTCCACACGCGTCCAGGCACCACGATAACCACTCATGTATGTATTACTTCTGGCGGTGCAAAAGAACCATTTGAGCAAAAAAACTTTAAACATATTTGGTTTGGTTTAATTGCCGAAATTTTGAAGAAGAAAAAACAATGTATACTCACTACTGTTGAACTATAATAAAGAGCGAGCGCTGATCAAAAGAGCAAGACACCCGAGGATCTCCTGGGTGTCTTCAGCTGCGAGGCAGTAACTCGACAGCAACCTGACAGAAGTTCACCTTCGACATCTGAGTTACTGGTTATCCTACTAGTAGTAATTTGCTCAGCGCCTCATTTTGCTATTACCGTATTCCGTATATGCTTGCTGACATGAATCTGCACGATTTGTAACTGCACATCAGGAGGATAGTCAACAGTGGTAAACATAAAAAATTAAGAATAGAAGACATAATTGCAAGCTTAAATATCTCATTCGAAGGTATCGTCATTTTCTTCATCACTGTCACTACTTCATGAACCCCTTTCTCCATTGCCACGACGCCATGAATGGGGAAATATTATAGTCAATGGCAGTCTGTTTGGCTAGTAGCTCAAGCAATTTGGCGCTCACAGGGTCTCCATTTTTCCGCAGAGCATTTATCCAATGCACAACCTCATGTCCAGCGTCAACAGGAAGAATAGTCGCACTCCCTTTCGACCGCAGGTACTTCAAACGAGCTAGTCTATGAGTAGCACACAACGTTTCTAGCCATTCTCGCTCTTTCCGCCACTGATAGAGTAGCGTTTGCTTCTGTTCTCGGGCGTGGCCATCTAGACCACGGAAATATTTAGCTAATGTAATGTCAGCATCGTGTTTAACGAAAAAGGTAACAATCTCGAGCTTTGTCGCGTTGGTGTAGCAAGTACGGAAATACTTTGGAGTCTTGCGGCCGCTGCCATTAACACGAAGGCGGCCTGGTGGCGGTGCTCGCATGCGTGGTTGTCGTTGCTGCGCTGCTATTGCTGAGATTTTGCTAATGACAATTATGTGGCTGTGCTGAACTGTCGGTAAGCACATAAGCAGCGACTGTACTAAAAATACAAGACCTCTGATTGGCTACTTAGTTTCGTCAGTAAAACGACTTTCCACGTAATTTCTACATACAGGCTCGAATTGAGTAGTAGATAGTAGTGCGTGTACAGAAGTCCCCCTCAATAAGCGTAGGTAATCGTCTGATAAATTTTCACTGGAAAATCACAGCGTAGGTAATCGTCTGATAAATTTTCACTGGAAAATCACAGCAATCTCGTGATTTGTCGAATGTACTTTCAACTATGTGATCCGATATAAAGGGGCATACGAGGTGCTTATTGAGGGGGACTTCTGTATACGTTTCCAAAACGATAACTCAAGGTCTGCTTCGCTCTGCGTGGTACAGTTGGTGGTATAGTGGTCCATTGACCATCCTGAGAGAATCCGATCTTGAGTCCAGAATCCGGACGAGCTCACCCGCAGTGCCGCAAATATGGCGCCGAACGCCACTGAGAAACTCCACGACGAAGAGGACCGCGGTGTGTTGGTGTATGATGCACCGGGATTCTTTGCCAACGACAGTAAAGTGCCTCGATGGATTCAGAGCCTCGTCACCGATGTGTTCAGCTTCGTGATCTTGCACTACTTCGTCTGGGGTGTCCCGTTCCTCGTCTTGTTCTACATTTTCCACAAGGTCAGTGGTGCTGGAACGAGTCCAGACTGGCATTTTGCAACCTTTTCAACTTTCCTTGTTCTTTAAGTACGACCTCGACTACGTGTCAATCGCCATGGTGGTGCTCTACCTGCCCTCATTCTTCAGCGGAGCGCACAAGACCGGTACGGGAAACGTGTGGGAAGGTTTGCGAACATCGCGTTTGTGGGGGCTACTCAACAGATTCCTCCGAATTGTCAATTTCCTTTCCCTGCCAAAGCTGCTGAATGGATTCTCACCGATGATAACTTTGTCGTGTTCAGGATTATGATTATCCGGGAGCAGCGGCTTGACTCTAAGGGCCTGTTCGCGTTGTGCCTAGAGATGGAGATGATTGTGGTGTCCTACGATCTCCACCTCCAGTTGTGTCGCTACGTATCCTTCTCCAGGTGCACTTTAAACCAATCAGGTGCCGATACCATGTGTGGACACGGCACTCACAACCTAGAATCGAGAAGTCACATCCTCATCTTCACGCTCTCCTGCAGAACAAAGAATGATGCAGTTAAGGTCTGAAGACGCCACTCAACCAGAGGACGACGCAGCTATCATACCGGTACACACTCGTACCAGCAGTGGTCAGAGCGCACCACGCCGCAGGAATCAAGGCAGGAACGAGACAAAGCACCCATTTGCGTGGACAGTAAATGCGGCTGAGGTGCTGCTGAGATTGCGATTCGATAGCCTGAAGGGGTTGTTTGATGGCACGAAGAACTTGAAGCAGCTGAGTGCTGCGTGGGATTACCTAGCTGCAGAGACTCACCGTATTGGTGGCCTCGAGGTTGATGCTACCCAGTGCAAGTCAAAGGTACATGTACTGTGTATGAGTCTAGCGTTACATTATACGTACAGCAGTTATAAGCAGTACAGTCGCTTGTCCTACTGCAGCACACACAGCTAGCAAAACGTTTTCAATGTCCTCCTCCATAACAAATTGTGAGCCTCTCGTCTCTACCTCCGTCTCCTGTCTCCACCTCCAATAGGTGGAGAAGGATATCACCTCTAATCTCCAGTTGTGCAGTTGTAACAAATGGTTTTTGGCCAATCAATTGTTAGACGTATTTAGTGAGATGGGACCATCTCCATCTCCAGGCACAACGCGAACACGCCCTTAGGGCGTGTACAAGCAGTACATCTTCGGCTTCCACCCCCACGGGATCATCGTCCTCTCGCGGATCGCAATTTTTGGAGGCAGCTTCGAGGAGATTTTCCCAGGAATCACGTACAGAAGTGCGAGCTTTGGCAAAGAGTTGGTGAGCGCTTCATTGTCGATAACGTTGGTTGGTCTGTGCTGCAGCTCTTGGGGCGTCGCCAATGTTCTACATCCCCCTAGGGCGCGACTTGTGTTTGTGGATGGGAGGTGTCGATGCCTCACGGTCGACGGGCGAGAAGGTGCTGAACGAAGGCAACAGTATCGTCGTGTATCCTGGTGGAGTGCCAGGGATATTCAAGACGAACCCCAACTCCAAAGAGGTGAGCACCTTAGACTCAGAGATGAGATTTTGACGACTCAACACGCAAGAGTTGCATTGCTCTGTAGACCCAATTAGTGCTGAGGAATCGCCTCGGATTCGTCAAACTGGCCGTGAGCCACGGAGCAGATCTCGTGCCAACGTTCGTCTTCGGAGAGAAGTGGCTCTACAAGTGAGTAGGATAACCTGTCAGTCTGTTAAGGAATAACCGTCTTTTGTCGTTTGAGTGCCCCCAGCATGCGGAATCCGCCGAAAGGGGTGATAAACTTCTTCCGCAAGACGCTCGGCATCCCGGTGCTCGTCTTCTGGGGCAAATTCTGGTGGATGCCCAAGGCTCCGGAGAACGGGAAACGTTTCGGACTCGTGTACGGCAGACCCATCACCACGAAACGCAATTCCAAGCCTACAGAAGAGGAATTTCGTGTCATTCACACACAATATGTCGCCGAGATCGAACGGATCTTTGAGCAGTACAAATCTGACTTTGGCTATGGAGCGGACGAAACGTTGGTGATCGTTTAGCGTTTAAACGATTTAGGAGAAACTCACGTCATTCTAAACTGAGGAATAGCGAAAAGTTGGTTGTTGGTTGGAGCGTAAAATGTGCAGAATCTGTTCACCTTCAGCGCGAACAGAGATTGCGTGGGGCACGACGTCATTTTTTACATTCGATAGAATACTCGTAGAAGGGGGGGTACTTTTTCAAGGTCAAAGTCTCTTCACGCGATCACCAAAAGCGGCGTAGCTCCTTACATAAGTCAGGTTAAAGGCGTCCTGGACCATGACGCCGCACCCTTCTAAGCGCTGAGCAACCATCGAAGGCTATGCGTGTCTTCACAATGGCGCCAGACCCGACGATGGGGAAGAAAAGTGAAGAAACTCAGCTACAAAAGGGCGTTCTAGTGTACGAGAGCAAAGAGTACTTCTCTGAGAGCAGCAAAGTTTCCCGATGGATGCAAAACGCCATCACCAACGTGTTCAGCTTCATCACGGCGCACTATTTCGTGTGGAGCTGGCCATTCCTCGGCCTGTTCTACTTCCTCCACCGTGTGAGTCTTGCTTCGGTGAGGTACTTTTCAATCTTTGCTTCAGTGTTTGACTGTGTTTTGTGTCTGTAGCGAGGTCTTGACTACGTTTCGATTGCAATGGTGGCTTTGTATCTGCCGTCGTTCTTGAGCGGGGCCCAGAAAACTGGCAAGGGAAACGTGTGGGAAGCCTTGCGCACGTCCAGCGTTTGGGGGCTCATGAACAAGTTCCTTCGCATCAAGATCATCCGCGAACAGGAGCTGGACCCCAACAAGCAGTTTATCTTTGGGTTCCATCCGCACGGAATCCTCGTGCTCTCCCGTCTCGCAATCTTTGGCCGAAACTTCGACGATGTTTTCCCTGGGATCAAGAATCGGCGTGGGTTTCCTTTTATTGGAGATGCTGGCCACTCCAAGAATTGCCACTAAGTCTCTTATGTTGCTTAGTTCTCGGTGCGTCGGCCATGTACTACGTCCCCTTAGGGCGTGATATCTGCTTGTGGCTTGGTGGTGTCGATGCTTCACGATCCACGGGTGAGAAGGTCCTGAAAGAAGGCAAACAGTGTCATTGTCTACCCTGGAGGCGTGCCCGAGATATTCCGCACGGATCCGAACTCGAACGAGGTGCGTTAACGTAGGTCTGATGGACCGTATGACGATGCTCATGGTACTTAATTTCTATGCAGACTCAGCTTGTGCTCAAGAAGCGCCTTGGATTCATCAAACTCGCGATGCGGCACGGCGCAGATCTGGTCCCAACGTTCGTCTTTGGGGAAAAGTGGCTATACGAGTAACTACTGTAGACTTTGCTTGTGGATGTAGAGAATTATTACTGACGCTCGCTGTCTCTACTGTAGCATGTGGAATCCGCCCAGAGTCGTCATCAACTTCTTCCGCAAGGCTCTTGGTATCCCAGTCCTTGTCTTCTGGGGCAAATTCTGGTGGATGCCCAAGGCCCCGCAAAGGGGAAACGCTATGGGTTGGTCTACGGGAAACCAATTGTCACGAAACACACGCCCACACCGACGGACGAGGAAGTTCAAGTTGTTCATGCGCAATATGTCGCAGAGATCGAGCGGATCTTCGAGCAGTACAAGTCCGAGTTTGGCTACGAGGAGGGCGAGACTCTGGCCATCATTTAGCCGCAACTAAGCTAGTACGAAGCTAAAATAGTGACAACGTTTGTAGACGCTCAGAAACCTCGCAAGTGAATAATCCAACTCGCTGATGATTCACACCGTAATCGGATATTCTTGCTGATACGAGTCCAAACCAAACAAACTCACTCTGCTATTTGACAGCAATGGCGAGCGAAACTCAGGCTGATCCTGTCCAGACAGACAAGGGCCTCTTTGTCTATGAGCCTCTTGGATTCTTCGCGGATGATAGCAAAGTACCCAAGTGGATGCAGCTCCTAATTACTGACGTGTTTAGCTTCGTGACTACGCACTACTTCGTGTGGAGCTTGCCATTCCTCGCGCTGTTCTGCTACCTACACCAGGTGACTCGAGAATGATTTGTTTTGTATTGTCTGGTACTTGTTCCCAGTGCGTAACATCTTTTATTTTTTTCATTCGGTTTCTAGCACGAACTCGACTACGTATCGGTCGCTATGATTGCTCTGTATCTGCCCTCATTCTTCAGTGGGGCGCAGAAGACAGGGAAGGGCAACGAGTGGGAAGCCGCGCGGACGTCGAGTTTATGGGGCCTCATGAACAAATTTCTTCGGTACGTTCGTTTTTCACCAAACTACACAGCAGTATTACGACGAGTATTGACGTTTTCTCTGTTGGCTCCGTTGACGAGCAGCGTCAAGATTATTCGGGAGCAAGAGCTGGATCCGAAGAAGAAGTTCATTTTCGGATTCCACCCTCACGGAATCCTCGTACTCTCTCGAATCGCAGGCTTCGGTCGAAACTTCATTGACGTGTGTCCGGGCATCACGACTCGGTGTAAGTGCTGTGAGCGGTCCACAAAGCCGCTGAGTGCGTTAAAAAGTCTTACAAATCACTTGTATTTACCTTTTTAGTCCTTGGAGCCTCGGCAATGTATTATATTCCGCTAGGACGTGAAATGTGTCTGTGGATGGGTGGAGTCGATGCCTCACGCTCCACAGGTGAAAAGGTGCTGAAAGAAGGCAACAGCATCATCGTCTACCCTGGCGGCGTACCCGAGATTTTCCTCACGGATCCGAATTTAAAGGAGGTACGTAGCATACTCACTTTCCCTACGTGAGACCAAGGCATGACGAAACTGCCCCGTACCTGCCTCCCTCAATGCAGACCCAGCTCGTGCTGAAAAAGCGTCTCGGGTTTATCAAGCTCGCCATGCGTCAGGGCGCACAGCTCGTCCCGACGTTCGTCTTTGGTGAAAAGTGGCTGTACAAGTGGGTACTCACTTGTTCTGCTTGTTGACATGCGATCCGGAACCTTATCTGTGCACTATCTCCTCTTAAATAGCATGTGGACCCCGCCCGAAAGTGTGACTAACTTTTTCCGCAAGACACTCGGCATCCCTGTTCTGGTCTTCTGGGGGAAATTCTGGTGGATGCCCAAGGCTCCAGGCGAAGGAAAACGCTACGGACTTGTGTACGGGAAGCCTATTGCGACGAAGCACGATTCAAACCCGAGCGACGAAGAAATCCGTGCTGTTCATGCCGAATACGTTAGCGAAATCGAGCGCATCTTCAGCCAGTACAAATCGGAATTCGGCTACGACGAGGACGAGACGCTGGCCATCATTTAGGCAAAGCTCTTAACCACAACTCTGTTTAAGCACACGAGATCGTGATGAACCAAAGCTTTTCTCGTCATTTTGTTTAAACATCTGCAGTACGTTCAGTTTGAAAACCCTTAGACCTTGTTCAACACGACGGAGATCGGGTAGTGATCGCTGTTGTATCCGCTGCAGGACGAGGCATACAGGTCGTGGTTGAACGAGACGCTCTTGAGTGCCGACGACAGCGACTTGGAGACGAGCATGTGGTCGAGGCTGCTCACCTCGCTGTCTTCGAACACGCAGTTGTTGTCCTCGTCCCACCACTGTGTGTAGCGATCCGACTGCGAGATTTTACTCGCCACGTCGACAAAGTTGCTACCCGTGAGGATGGAGAGCACAGCACTGATGGGTGTATTGCTGTTCTTGTCCAACACAGTTGCAGACCAGTCGTTCAGGTCGCCCGTGATGATGGCGTGGTGTCCTTCATCGACCGCAGCGTTGGCCAGACCAGCGAGTACCGTCGCCTGAGCTTCACGCTCGAAACAGCGTGGTTTACTCTCGGGATTGGCCAGCAGATGAGCACCGACGAGCGTGAGCGGCTTGGAGAAGCCCGTGACGTTGAAGGTTGTGTAGAAGTGCTTGGTTACTCCTTTAGAGCTCGAGTAGCCGCTGGAGCTTGGACACTTCGACCCACTAACCGGGATGGTCGCCCGCGTCTCCGTCCGTTGCACATCCACGACCGGATCGATACGCGTGAGCAGAGCCGAGTTCTGACCTGTGGACGTGTCAGCACCTCTGACCACGTACGGCTTGTAGGTGGAATCGCCCAGAGCTTGGAGCTGCGCAATGACAGCCTGCAGCACTGTGCAGTCTTCGACCTCGTTGAGCTGGATGATGTCGGCGTCGAGCTTCTTGATGACGGATGCGATCTGGATCACGTGGCTCTGGGCGTCAGCCACCGTCTTCCACCGACAGTCAGCTCCTGGACATTTGAGCCCGTGCGGTGCGTTGCCCAGGAACAGGAACTCCGTGTTGAACGTGGTCACTTTGAGTTGGGATGTGCTGGTGCGGCGGTCTCCCGGTCGCGCTGGGGCTTCGGCACAAGCTACGAAGGCCGCGTCGGTAGACTGGAATCGGGTCACAACAGCGACAGCAGCAGCCGCCACGATGGAGGGTAAGGAGACCATGACGTTAGACGATTGGGGTCGTGTGTGGGGGATGGCGAATTGCGGACTGGGCTCTGCATCGCGCGGCTTCATGAGGCTTGAGTCAAGGTCAAGCCGCTTGACCTTGAATTAATCCTAATGGATGAACTGTAATCAGGCCACTTCCCGCGCGTCCTGTTTGCTTGGAATCGAGTCACGCAGGATGGAGATTCGATTACTGACGGACAGTTTGACGTGCAGAGCCGGCCATCCAGACTCTCCACGTTGCGTGGGTCACGCCGAACAGTGGAAGACTCGAGATGAGGGACGACATGAATGCCAGTTAAGAATCTTAACTTTTAAGTAAAAAGATCATCGAGGTTACAATCAATGATGCTGCATCGTGTCAACTTAAGAGTCAAGCTCATCCCGCCCAGGATCAGATTCGATCGGCGGCATGAAGGGAGGGAGCAAACACACGTCGTGCTTTCGTTACACAAAGTGTTGAGTCTACTTCTACGTCTTCGCACTTCAACGTGCCTTAATACCGACGACCATCCCGTCTTGATGTGTTCTGTAAGATGGCGGTGTTCTGGGAGAAGCTGTGCGAGACCAGCAGCGTCTCCAGTGCTAGACGACGACTCTGGTCGAGATACAACGTCTTGCCGCGACGTAGATACGGGTCTTCTTCTCCGTTCTTGTCCACGTACAGACTGCCCCATACACAACGTCGTTCGTTGCCCAAAAAGAGGATCACAGTGCACGCACGTAGTAGCAGGAAAGCCCCCGTCCCAAGGCCACAGCGCTGGGCGTGCTGCGTGCACTCACCCACGCCGCCGCCCTCCTTCGCCTCGCAACACGGCGAGAAACAGCACAGCACTTCGCCACAATAGAGGCACAGTCCTGGATGCTGAGGGACCTGCGCGCACTGCTGACACACACCCGTCGGCTTCTCATTGTAGCGAATAAATAGGTCCATGTACACGCGAGGCAGCGGGATCAGCAGGCGAGAGGTGTTGCCAGCAGCAGCGACCGCAGCAGCTCGAGACGACAGCAACGTCACTTGGCGTTGCAGTGGAAAGGTATCAACCTGCGCAGAGGAGCCACCTGCCACTAGCGCTTGAGATCGAGCTTGTTGTCGGGAAACGGCGGCTTTTGCCTCCAGCTGGGCGCCCCAGAGCTGGCACAACGCGCGTTGGCTTGTCGAGAACATTTCTCGATGGAAGAAGAGGCGTAGAGGCGGTAGATGAAGTCTCCGTAAGCATTTCTCCAGCAGCGCAGACGCCGTAGGAGACCCAGTTGACGTCGAAGCAGCAGGGAACAGCCCGTCGCATACAGCGCAAGTCTCCGAAGCAACTAGCGGCGTTTTGGAGTTGTTGCTGTCCCCGTGATGGTCATGAGGCATTGGCAGCACAATGTCCATTAGTAGGAGCATCTGCTGGGCCAGCGGCAGACACAGCACGCTCACTTTCTCCTCCATCGCCGTAGTACTCCATTTCCTAACAGGCCTCTGCGCCGCCTTCGTGTCCATCACGCGAGACCGCGCCAGCATCAGAGAAATCCACGCAGCCGCATCACGAAGTGACTCGACTTGATCAAAGTCGCGCATTTCCATTTGTCCTTCTCCTCTTTCCACTTTACTGTCTTCCTGTATCGAGAGGTAGGCGAGTGCCTGTAGCACCTGCGCTGTGAATAATACACGCGCCGAGAAGAAAGCCTCCGTGAGGAGCTGTTCCGCTGCTACGTCCGCACTGGGTGTTGCTATGCTCTGTCTCCACATCATGCGCATAGCGAAACACGTGAGCAGCCGCGGATGGAACAGAATCGGCGTCCCCACTAGCGCTGCATCCGTCGCGTCGTCGGCATCCCCCACTTGCAGCTGGTCTCGAATATTCCAATGGGAGCTGCAGGCATCTTCGTCTTCTGCAAAGAGCACTTGGTGGCCAAATATCAGTCCATTCAGTCGAGTCATCACGCTCTCGAATTGTTTCTCAGCGGACGCCTCCACCACCGTCCACGCCAATGAGCTCGGAGTGGAGAAAGCGACCGCTGCTGCCGTAATATCCGCAAGTTGGCGCATGGAACGGAGCTGCAATAGGTCCACACTGTCCGTCTGCAGCAGCGTCTTCTCACGCGCTACGACGCGTACTTGCACTTCAAGACAGTGCAGAAGCAACTGCCACGCCGGCGTTTGAGCGCCACATTCCGAGCTGAGCTGCTGCATCTCCAAGTCCACGCTGCCTTCATCCCGAATGGAGCTAGTAAGGAGCGTCGGGAGATACAGTTGCGCACGGACAGTACGCAGCACAATTTCATGGCAGAATGCGCCAATCTCCCGCTCCACACTCACGTCTCGCTCCGTGGGATCCTCATCACTACTAAAAAACGGCGAGCCTGAAGAAGCCTGAGAGCCAGGGGACAACGACGTCTTCGAAGTGGACGATAACAACCGCCGTCTCAAACGCAAACTCGACTGAGTGCGCGAGCGACGTCGCTTGACGACCGGCGAGTCGTCTCGAAAGCTCATTTGGGTGTCCAGCCACTGAAGAAACGCCAGGGGGTCCTGTCCGTCGTCCCTCTTCTCTTCTTCCTCTTTGTCTTCTTCTTTTTCTTCGTCTTCCTCGCCTGAAACCTCGGACTTTACCAACCCATCGACGGACGCTCGCTCCCGAATGTCCCCCAGAGACACGCGAGGCACGAGGCAGTTGGAGAGTCGACGGCAGATTGGACACACGAACTCCAAGTCCCGTTCACTGAGCAGACGGTCCTCGCCACTGGCCATTTCCAAGGGATTGCGACCGTGCTTTTGCTTCCAGAGCGACATGAGGTACGCCTTCAAGCACGAGTGGTGAATAGCGTGACCACAGCTCCAGATGACGCTGTCTGCAAGCTGCAAGCGCATCTCATCGGTGGATCCAGGCTTCAGCACGCGTAAGGACGGGAGTCTCGAGGACGCAGCTGGACGCACATCCGAGTTTGACGACCCTTTCTCGATCCTCTGGGGCATATTGGTGGGCATAATCATGCCTACCAAGCCAAAGGATGATTCACGAGAGCGTGGGTCGCACGGCAACCGGCAGAGCCCGCACTCTGCACAGGAATCATCCACTGAGTTGTAGTGGTCGTAACTTATGGAGGACGAGCGGCCCCTTTCGTCGCTCTCTGCAGTGATAGACGAGCTCCGAGTGCTGCGTCTCCTTCGGCGCCTTCGATCTTGACATCTCCGCTGTTTCTCTCGGATCTGGGCGATAGCGGACGACACGTGCTCCAGGTACAGGCGAACATCCACTTGACCAGTAGGAAACCCCCACTCGTCTTCTTCCTCGTGGTCTTCCTCCTCCACTTCTTCCTCCGACTCTGTCGCCTCATCGTAGCTGTCACTGTCTGAGTCTGCCATCGCTTGAGCGTTCGTGCCAGTGCCAGTCTCCTCCATGGCATCGCTGTTAGCGGACAGAAACTGCATCTGCTGAGACCGCATCTGGGCCAAAATCTGCTGCTGTCGCCTTCTCATCATCTCCTTGGCTGTGACCTTCACTGGACCTTTTCCTTCGCTGTCGTCTTCGCGGCTACATGTAGTAGAACTACAAGTCTTGCCGTCTGCGTTGACATGACTCGAGGCAGCTTCTCGCTGCTTCTGCTTCATCGCAGCCAAGTACGTCGAGCAGACTGACGATTTCGCACGTACTGATTGCAGGATGAGATTGACCACAGGCTGACAATCCTCCGTCGCACTCTTGTGTTCTGTCAAGAACACCAGCAGCGACAGTAAACTCGACGTAGTTGCCTTCTCTCCATCGCATTCCGCACCACATTCTCCACTCTGATCCTCCAGCGGTATCTCAGTACAAAGCTTGACGAATAAACTGCTTTCTTCCTCAAAGCACTGCGCAATGTCATCCAGACCCCACTCGCTCCCCGTCATGTCAGAGTTCGTGTCCAGCTTTCGGTCTTGCGAGTCCTCCGGTAGCAACTCGACCGCCACGTACAGACAATGCAGCGCAGCAAGCAGCAGGTTCTCGTTCGTGGCTGGATTCCCGCTGTCTTTGTCTTCATTATCCCCTGACGCACCTTGGTGAGGTGTCGCTAGGTGGCGTCTGTAGTTCTCAAAGATGACCAACAAGACGCTGGCCATGTACGACGAGTTCAACGTCGTGTCAGCGAGCAGTCTGTGCATATCGACGCCGCTCGGTCCTTCAAGTTGCAGGCGTGGTAGCATCGGCAGGATGGGCGAAGGTGTCGTGCCGTTGTCTTGGTCACTGACTTTGAGGAGATTCTTGCGAATATTCTGCTCGCACTGCTGCGCTTCAGACGGCGTGAAGCACTCGAACAGAGGCGACACTTGTGACCAGAGTTCGGGCTTCAACTTCCACGAGCCACTCATTTTGAGTCCATAGCCCAAGAGGCTGCCACTACGAGTAGTTCGAGGACCGCTGTTACTCCCAGCCGGGTCGTTATACACACCGACGTTCTCCAGCACGTGCGTTAGGATCTCCTCCTCTTCCAGCTCGGCCCATTCGTGCTTGGAGAGTTGCTTTATCTGCTCCACCAGCTTCATATCCGTCCGCATAACCACTTCACTTCGCGTGGACGGGCCCAGTGTCAGCCAGTGCATGATCTCGCGCTCCAGAAGCCACACAGCTGCAGTCTCGGGTGAGCTGGCAGACGCCAGTTTGACAGGCGCTAGCACAATCTGAAGCAGGAGACGCAGAGCTTCTTCCACGACGTCCAGTTCTTGGCGTAGCTCACGACGGCGGTCAACGTTCGCACTAATCGGAGCGTTTAGTCCAAGCACAGACGACCCACGTATCCCGAACGGTAGTTGATGAAAGAAGAGACGCGTGAAGCTCCCGTGCGGGAGGAGGCTGGCTCCCAGCTGACACAAAAACAGATCCGAGTGCAGACCAAAGTATCGCCAATGCTTCGAGTGGTAATGAATGAGCTGCTGCAGCATGACGCCCCCATTGCGCACCCACAGACCCGCCTTGATTTCCCTCGAGAAGAGAAGCACTCGCAGAGGGTGATCCAGGGCGCTATACCAGAACGCCAAGTCTTTGCGTTCTTCGTTCTCAGAAGACCCCATGCCCAATAACTCACGCCAGTCGTCCATGGTCTGAGGACGCACGACCCCGCACAGCGCATGGATCAGCGCCCCATACATGTGATGCAGCGGGAAGTGAAGGCTCTTTGCACTCGCACCGCCCAACGCCACGGTTCCCTGCTCGTAGTACTTTACCAGCTGGGGAATCGTCGTCATGTCTGTTTCTCTTGAAACTTCGCCAGGCCCTGCACATGCTGCAGCTACATCGCTTGCTCCAGCTGCGAGTTCTGGCCGTCCGTTGCGGTTCGCCCACTGTGTCAGCGATACTCGCACAGGTTGCAATATAGCTCGAGCCAGCGTGAGGGGACGGAACGTGTCGGTCTCCAGCGGATTCAGCGGCGTCGCCCCCGTAATTACGCCCACAGCTCCTTGATTCCAGCTATTCTCACCCGTGGTGACGCTTGTCCAAACCTCACGGGAGAAGCAAGCAGGGATGCCCGTTAGAAAAGCGCTCAGCAACAGTTTCAGCTCGTAGTCTGCAACGAAAGCAAACGTCCAGTTCTGCGACTCATACTCGATATGTCGGTGCACATGACGCGTCTGTAGATCCATCTGCTGCAGCAACTCAAAAGTATTCATCAGTTGCGCGTACACTGAAGCTTCACGAAGAGCGCAGTCGTCTCCTCCAATGCAGCGAAACGACCGCAATAAAACTTCAGCCGCGATCTGGGGATGGACAAGTAGAGTCCGCAAATCCGAGCACAGTCGCGCGTAGATCCGCTTCTTGAACACATTCCGCCCACAGTCCACGGCCTGCACCGTCCGCAACACCGGAGGGGCCTCTGGCACTGTTCCTATACCCACCATCGAGGTGCTACTTCCATTCGCATCGCCAGCACTAGTTGACGTCCCGTTTTCTGTGCGCGGTAGCGGCAAGATCGTCATCAACCGCAGAGTACTTCGGAAAAGATCGTTGAGCTTCTCCAACAAAAACACCATGAGCCATTCGACGCAGGAGGACGGCGCCGAGTCGGTCATTTCGGGAGCAACACCAGGGAGATGGTGTCGTCGTCGCCGTCGTCCACGGTGGGTCCTGCGCGCTTCGTCTCGGTTAAGTGTGGGGCGCATCGAGGCGAATACCGTCTCCAGTTCACGTAATTGCGCATTGCTGTGGAAGAGCTGGCAGAATAAACGGTCAATAAACCGGGACAGATTCCGCATGCCGTCCTCGTTGTTCTCGTCGCTAGCTGACAGGTACAACTCGATAAAGTACGGATACCATTCCACAAAATGGCACGTGTACTTTTGCTTGAACGACTGATCAAACAGCAGCTTCAGGTACAGAACACCGAGCACGTCGCACGTCTCAATAGGCAGCAGTATGCCCGCCTTAAGAAACACATCGAGCATCAGCAAAGGGCCACGATTCCCATCCCCCGCGTCCGCCTGCTCTTCTTCCGAGTCATCACTTGGTGGTGCAGTCTCGACGGGTGTTTCCTCTATCGTTTGACCGGACAAATCTGAAGCTACGCGACTCTGGGTGGACACAGCGTCCACTTGAAACTCTGGTGGTAGCTCTTCAAAGAACAAATCGGATATCACATTGCGATAATGCAGACAGCTCATGGAAAGCATCTGAAGCCACGCCAGCGTCTGCTGCAGCCTGTCCACGTGAGTCTTAACCACCGACGGGAGCGTCGAGCGCTGTAGTCCTGTGCGCGGGAGTGATCTCCTTGGGTAGAACGGGTCTGGATTCTCACTGGCATGCGGCCGTAAGCAGGCCAAATGCACTTCTCTCAGTACATCCACACAGAACTCCATGACGCTGCTTACGAGTACTTGCACTGCCGCAGCCTCCTCTGTCCCCATCTTCATCTTCTTCACTTCGTGTTCCCTCTTACCTGTCTGGTCCTGCTGTGCACTGTGCTTTTTGCAGAATCCCTCGGGCTTCCAGGCGAGGGGGTCGCCACAGTCGCAGCACCCTCCAGACGAGCAGCGGTAGACTCTATAGTCGTGTCCCTCGTGCTCCTCCGGGTCAAAACATGCCAGACACATACAGCTCGAGTCCGAGAGTCCGCAGGTTCTGCATCTGTAGGCCATATGGTCTCCATGCCACACTTCCTCGCACTTGAGGCGCTTGACGCTGCCATAGTGCGATGCCAGGCAGGCATGGAAACTGTCGGGCAGCTTAAAACTGACCGATATACCGGTAGAACCGGAGGCGCTCTCCTCCTGCTCGTAGCTGATGCAGCTCTCTGCTGTATTCTGTGTGTAAGAGCACGACTTGAGTTCCGACTGCTCATTAAGTGTATGTTGGGAGTGTGAACGCGCATGTGCCGCCATCATGACGCGCAGGATGAACTGAAGCAGCTCCGAAAAGCGTTCAACAGCCGGATTGGCCAAAAGTTTGAGCGTTAGCAGGCGCTGCGAGGCGCGAGGCGTGGCCAGGAAGGCGGCGATCAGCTGTGACTCGTCCTCTAAGTGGTCTTGGGCGCTGAACTGCGAGCTTAGACGAGCTTCCAGTGGAATGTCCGCATCAGAGCATGCAGAGGTGGCATCGAAGCTACTCTGGAGCGTCTTGCTGGCTTCGGAGCGAGCTAGAGACGCCGCCACATCCCGAATCTGCTCAGCTTCTCCTGTTTTCGCCATCTTCTTCAAAGAAATCGGCTTTGACAGGGAAAGTCAAACTGCACAAACAAAGTCGATCAAACCGGTAGTATGAACCGGTTTGATCGACTTAAAGATCCTGAGATACTGTACATGTATTATATTAATTTGAGAGCCCATCAAGAAACAAAGGGATTATTGATTAATGACGAGATACCCTGGAGGCATCGCGCTGGATGCATTGAGCTACAAGTCGGTGGGTGACGGCACCGGCACGTGCTGCTTGAGGTGGTGCACGCGGTAGTTGAGTTTGTCCACCTGCTTTTTCAGGGTGTCGCGCTCACTGCGGGCTTCGTCGCGCTCCTTGCGCAGCTGCTCCAGGCTCGAGCCCTCCTTCAGCATCGTGTCTGCAGCATTCACAAAGAACGTCAGTTCCTCTTCTAAGAATGTTGGGACCGAGCTACATCAGTGGCGGTTGCACCTCTAATGTCACGCAGCTTGAGCAGAAGCTGCGTCTGGTATTCGCGAAGGTCAGCACCGCCTACAGGGCCGTCAACCTTCTTGGTCTCGGCTGTTAGTCGCTTCTCTACGGCGTCCATGCGGTTCAACACTTTCTGCAAAATAGAGGTAGCAATAGAGGAGACATGAGCTGTCGGGCTATCAATACGAGCAGATTCTTTCTCTGCGTCATACAGTGAGGTCCGTATTGACTTGGTCTAGAGTCTGCACTTGCAACAAAAAAGAGTTGTGAACAAGATTTAGATATGTGTGAAGTGTGAGGTCATTAATAGGACTGCTCTGGGGTTCGTTGGTGAGCTGCTTCGTAAGATGACGACGCACCTTTGAGCCCGCCATTGTCAGCAAATATATGAAGAAGAAAAAAACTCGGATTGTGTGTGACACATAGCTTACATGTCTCACTTTGGTATTTGAAAATCGGATGGTACCCTGCCGGTCCATTTAAGTCCGATGTCGTACCTCAAGTGTTTAACCCTTTAGTTCCCGTATGTTGGATCTTCCAACATACGAGGTGTATACCCTAATCCACTGGCGTTGCGGCATCTTTGTGTATGTTGACCATAAGCCGAAGTATACTTTTGTATGAGCGACTGTCTATACATCATGATTTTGTGGTATAGTGAATTTAAATCGCTGGTTTGAGCGTAGAACGACCAAATGCACAGGCTTAGGTTTGTCTTAGTTGAACGAGCTAGAAAAAGGAGCACACCCACCCAGTATCACACGAGTGGCCGACATCCTCATTCATCAAAACACCGAGTTGAAGACAAGATGGTTGCGACGACACCCAAGCCTCCGCGCAACCAACCTATTGCGCAGCAGGTTCGAGTTTGCCGCGGGGCATTGTTGTGCGAGCGCCACGAGCGTCGTCTTCGACGAGCAGAACCAAAGAAGAGCGGTGGCCAGGCGGCGAAAAAAATGAAGAAGGCTGCGAAGCGTACAACAGCAGCGAGGGAAAGCTCCGAGTCCAAGGATAGAGATAATGCACAAGCAAGAGCGGGTGGGGCAGAGGCAAAGGAGGCCGCAGTGAATTAAGATAATGCCGAGGCGAAGGAGATTGCGATAGCTCAGACGAACGTAGAGGCAAAGGAGACGGCGACGGCCCCCGATCCAGAAGTGATTTCAACTGGCACAACGATAGAGGTGGCCGCGGTCGTTGCCGACATGATATGCAAGCGTTGAAACTACTGCGGCACCGATGCGTTCAATTGGAGTGCGTCTCGATGCTACTTCAGGTAAGGGAAAGCGCAAAAGATTACCACAACTGCCGGTAAAAGCGCGCCGTCGTGCAATTCTCCAGGAGGCAAGTGACGGCTGTGAGGAAGTACGTTATGCTGATATCATCCAACATATTGATTCGGGGTGTCTACAGCATCTAACATAACATCCAACTTATGACCTTATATAATTGACAGGATTCGTCAGCTGAAGAAGGCGAGAGTGTGACCTGACGCTTGAGATACCAACGTGCGTCATTGCCACAGACCCGAACTTGATGGAACGAGGGGCAAGCGAGTGCACGGGCCTCAATTCTGACGAGGACCCTGAACTTCCGGAAGAACCTGAAGATGAAGAAGAGGCTGATGATGCCAATTGGGACGGTGGTTAAGATATTGGCAAGCTGACAGATGAAGAGTCGGACGAAGATCTCGAGGAACTTCCCGACACGGTTTGATTGTCTGCAGCGAAGGACGCTAAGCTCATCACGTCGATGTGCCACAGTGGATGGGAGTACGGTACGATATGTTGACGTATCCAACATAACCCTTGCGGTTTATATCAGAGCCAACATAACCACTAACATAAACGTTTGCGATGTTCCTGATGCAGATATGACTAAATTCGGACCTGATCCAACGTATGCTGATTTGTATGACGGACCGTACGGGCTTAGCGACAGCGTACTACGCGTTGCGGACGACCCACTAGCACTGCTGTTTTACTTCCTACCGCCTAAGCTTTGGTCCCAAGTTGCTGTAGAAAGCAACCGTTACCACACTCAGTCAATTAGTGCGCGAGCCCGGGCAATTCACAGACAGAAGCAGCGCAATAGTGGCGAGGTGGAGGACCTTGCTAAGATTCGTCGCCGGTTGTCAGCGGTTGAAGATATTCAAGCTTATGAGGTTCTGCAGGTTGTCGCCCTCCTGATTGCTAGAATGTTGGTCCTCGATCGAAAGGGCATTGCGGCGCACTGGTCATCGAAGAAGGTGAGGTTTCTACCAGCTAATCGCTTCAGCCTTGTGATAGAGAGAAATCGTTTCTTCCACATCATGAGGTATCTCCATTTTTCGAACAACAAGTCGCCCCAAGCCCGCACAGACCGAGCGTGGAAGATTCGACCAGTAATCGATGTGCTGCAGCGGACTTTTGCTCATGGCTATAAAGCTCCTCCAGTCATCAGCTCTGACGAAGCAACACTACCCTCAAGATCGCGGTTCAACTCCATGCGATTGTTCAACAAGGACAAGCCCCACAAATGGGGTACAAAGGTTTTCGTCGCTGCTTGTCCGAAGACTGCGTACTGTTTGAGGTTAGATGCATGAATACTGCCGCAAGCCTCGGCTTGCGGCGTTTTTTTGTGTGTATGTGCTTATGTTGGCTCCATCCAGCATAACCTTCGTCTACCTTTGTTATAGATCCAACATAACGGTAACTTCCGCCTCTTTGTTGCTGCTATTTGAACCAGAAGTGAGATCTAGTGCGGTGCGAAGACACATCTACGCGTTCCTGTCCCATAGGATAACAGCAGTGGTGAAGCAGCAGTCCTACGTAACATGAAAGCTCTCTTGTCACCTTCCCCGAGTTCCCTATGGAGATTAGTGGTTACTGACCGTTTCTATACCTCTGTGAAACTGGCCCTGGAACTGCTCCATCATCGGATGTACCTAACCGGAACTATTCAGACGGATAGAGATGGCTACGCTTCCGGTGTCTGTACTGCGAAGTACAGGACTGTGAACTAGAAGAAAGAAATAGTACCACCGCAGGGCACAATCATTCTGGCCCAAAACAAGCAATTTCCGCAGTTGACAGCTGCAATGTGGATGGACCGTAACCCAGTGCACTTACTTTCAAGCGGAGGTAGCCGTCAAACTGGCACCGTGAGTAAGTATTGTCTTGGCTCAAGTGTTCTGTGCTGTGTGTAAATACTAATTATTGTCTTTGTGTCAGTGAGACGTATTCATGATGAAATGAAGCCGTTGCCTGCTCCGGAGTTGATTCGGGACTATCATCGCTGGATGGGTGGAGTTGACGTCCACGACCAGCTCCGCTTGCAGTGATACAACATCCAACTCTGCTACAAGACGCGCAAATACTACAAAACTATGTTTTTGGGGCTTTTGGATATGGCACTGGTGAATGCATATATCGTTCACCGCCACTACCGGAAGGTGAACAATAAGAGGACGCCCAAACATTTTTCGTTTTTCGAGGAGTTGATGGAACAGCTACTCGCAATCGACTCATCAGACGCGTTTGAAGAGATTGAGATAAGTGATATGTTGACGCGTCAACATAACCTCCAGTATGTGAACCATCCTCCAACATACGGGCTAACATAATGATTTATCCTTTGGTTCCAGCGAGCGACATCTGCACAAGATAGAACAGCGCCATCACCAGCCAGGTCAGATTCTGTGATGCAGCAACGAGGTCCTGGTGTGGCTTTAGACGGGCATCGCTTGGAGGAGAGCCCAGACACCGTCAATTGCGAGCAAGGCGTGAAGCGTCGCAACCGATCGTGCAAAGTCTGCGGTATTTTCAAGGTCAAATCGCGCAAGTTTACGAAGTACTTCTGCCCAGAGTGTTCAAACGGAGACAAGTGGTGCGTAGTGTGCCAAATAGTGTTTCTAAGCGCTTGTACTAACCAATTTTACTGCAGTAAATACCTGTGCAACGTTCCCCGTGAAGGGAGGAGTGAGACTTGCTTTCGCATCTGGCACGCTGATTGGAACAGCGGAAGCGACACCCCG